AGGGGATTGATTTAAATAGTTCTAACTTAAAGAAATGATTACGAAATTTGAAATTAAATTTAGTTTTAAAGTATAAAATTATCATTTAAAAAGAAAATTATTGTATTGTCTTTTTAAGTGTAGTTAAAGTTAGAAGTGACACAGTTACATCTGTTGTGTTCTATCATAGAATGTATTATTGTTATTTATTTATTTATGTATTTGCTAAATTGCCAAAAAGTATTGGGTATTTTCTTAAAAAGGAAACATGATTCGGAAATTATTTATGTTTTAAGTCAGAATTTATTTTTCGAAGATGAATCGTTCTTCTGTTTACTAACCAGTAACTATGTCAAGGTGAGATTTAAGCATCCAGATAACCGGTCGAAACAATGCTAAATAAATCGAGGACATTATCATTTTATATAAAAATCATAGGTTTTATATAGAAACCAATACTTTATTTAGTTTCTAATCGGTTTTATTTATGTATAATAAATCCTTTAAAAAAATTAAATTGGGGGATTGAATAATTCATTCTTTATTAGAAAACATTATATAAGAAGCTTAGGTAATGAATGTATATTTTCTATATATAATTGAGATTTAATTAAATAAATTCTTAAATAAGCTCTGTAATTAAAAGAAATGTGTTAAATCTAAAGGTAATCTATGATTATTAGATGAAACATTGAAACTTATTAAAAATATATAAGAATTTTGTAATAAAAGAATTTAAAAGATTATTTAATTTACTTAAATTTTCTTCTATTTCCCACCCAAAATTTAGGTTGTAATAATCCAATAGAAGCAAAATTCTAGCACCCAAATTTGCTGAATGTATGATGAAAATCTATTATAAAATGAAGAGATTTAAGATATTAAAGTATATAATAACAATAAATTCTTATAAATTTAAAAGTGTTTACTGATTTAGGTCCTGTATTAAATTCATTATAACTTGTTTTGTGAGTCGTAACCTCATAATAATAGCGCATAAGGTTATATAGTATATATAAACCTGGATGATATGATGAATATTTAGGCCAGGGCCACTTAAAAAATTGAGTTAACGTTTCAAAGGGTGCAACTACAACAAAACCACTCTGGGAACTTGAATTTTTTGACTCAAATTATTCAAAATTATCTATAATTAAATGTTTTGTAAACAATGATAGTGGGAAGTCTTCTTCTTAAGGATTTTAAATGATACATCTCTATAACAGGAGATGATTGTGTTAGTGTTCTGTATTCTTTATATCTACTGATAAAAAATAAATTTCATGAATTAATATTAAAAATTTTAACATTAAAGAATATATATTTATTTATTATTAGGGGTAGAGCATTCTCAAAAACCTTAGTGAAGAGAGTAAGGGATTGAGAAAAAGATAAGAAAGAGGAGAATGATCGTGTAGGATGTTGGACAGATAGGATGAATGAGAAAGTATAGAAAATCTTATTTTTTTTTATTTATTTAACTTAAAATATATGCTCTCCACCTCAAATTACTAGTGGTTTGTCCCTGTACATTATTTTTTTCATTTAACAATAGAACCTATCTAACACTTGAAAATTTTTTAATTGAAATAACGTAACCTCCGGTACTACAATACATTTATTTATGGTATTTAAAAAATAATCTATAAATAAATAGAAGAAAATACTATAAATTTATTTTTAAAAAATATATGTATAATAGAAGAAAAACACTTATTTATTCCGTATGTTTTTTGTATGATAATAGACACTAGAATATTATAAAACTACCATTTTTTCAATAGATTTCTGGTACGTACTCATGAATTAGAAGATAAATTAATTTATTCGTTACATTATATTGTACTTATTGAACAAAAGAAGTATAATTTAAGAGCGAATTTGTCAACGTAGTGACGTTTTCACCCCCATAAAAAATAAGTGTGACGTTGATGATATACAATAAGATGGCACGCTTCGATAGATTTCCGATAGAGAATTCCCCGAGTGGTTTGCAATTCGAAATTTATAATAATAACAGTACAGCAGGAAGTGAAACGGTTATAATTTATAAAGGACCTACTTAAGAACGAAACGGGTCCAAAAGCTAGTTTCTTTTTTAAATATATATATTTATTTTCATTCCTCGTACATTCAAACATATATAATAATGTTTAATTCTCAATTTAAATATATAAGTATTATTTTAAAATAAAAGTTTAATGAGGATAAAGAAAATTTTCTTCCCTAGCAAACACACAGTTTTGTTAACTTATTAATAACTAGATGGCGCTCGCATATTTAATTTATAGAACCTGTAATAGAGGACACCTCTAAACAACGGACATATTTCAAGAACTTTCTTTATTTTTAACAAGATTGCATACAAAATAACCTATAGAAAAATGATCATTTATTATGTTCCTGTCAGTGGCCATTGTTCACAGGTTTGACGGTATTAGAGAGGTTGCGGCCGAAGTTTTCATCTCTAAAACGTCGAACGTCGAACGTCGAACGTCGCTCAACGTTCGACGTTCGACGTTCACGTTTTACAGATGAAAAACTTCGATCGCAACTTTTATGTATTTGGAACACACAATAAAAAACGAGATAACTGACTTTTGGGCCACCCTTATTTTCTTATTTAGAGTTTTTTTAAAAAAAAACTGCATTATAAATGAATACGAATATCGATTGTATTGAATCCAGCAAGTTCTGTGATTATTATCGCAATTTTTTACAGATCGCGACCCCCTCATTAATCATGTGGTTTATTGTAGAATAATCCGAAAATAGGTCAGATTATTTAGAAAATAAAAGTGGAGTCAGCATTTATTATTCTAGAAAAAAAATAAATAAATAAACAGGTATTATTCTCATTTAAATTCTTCTTTTCTAGAACGTACAATAGCATGATTAAGATGAATATAAGCGAGAGAAAGCTGGATAGATATCATTTTTATTACTTTCCTAATCATTAAAGGAGGTTTTTGAACTAAAATGCCCACACTTTAAAGAGTCACGGAGGATATTTCTTTATATTTTCACTTCTAAAAGATCTCATAAGGAAATTACCTTTTAAGTAATACAGAAATGTAAATGTTATACCCGTAAACGTGAAGGGAAGAATATTGAATAATATCGCCCATTATGCCATTCATTTAGCCATATTTTTCACACTTTACGGAGAGAATAATACTAATGATTTTGATAAGTAAATTATATACAGTATATATATATATATATGATAAAATAAGTAAAAGTAGTGAGGCAATGCACGTGAAACTCTTACATTATCACGATTTTTATAAAATATTGCGACCGAATGTCAAGGACATTCATCAACTTTTGTGTCGAAAAAACAAGATGGATAGATGGCGATGGTCACGGAGTCGTGAGAATAGATTTTAAAGATATTTTATGTTCCTATTGTTCAGTTATAAGAGCCAATGTAACTCCGATGAACGTTTCGGTTCAACTTCGATCCTTACTCCTTAAAACTTATGTATTCTTTTAACACCGCTTAAGCCGTTCTACGATNCTTATATATATATATATATATTTATAGATTTTAAAAATAATCTTTGACATATTTTCAATAAACCAGGCATATAAATCAAGATAAAATACATGATTTTCGGTATAATATACAGTATCTAAAACAGTGTGACATTTAACCTACATCTAAATTCTCTACATCTAAACAGGAAAAGAATATTTAAACTCGTCTAAATAATCATGTTTCATATGCCATGCCGTATTTTCAGCCTAGTTTTGATGTTTGTTTATATTATCAGCTCGTTCTGAGTGAAGAGAAAGATGTCACAAGAAGGAAAAAATAAAATAAAGGATGAGTTTCGAAATTTCCATGCTTTATATATGTATATATATATATATATATATATATTTTAGTATTAATTTTCAAAAAATAAATTGCCACACCCTACAATGAAAGAAAGAAGTGTTGTATAATTAGGAATAAATTATGTGTCATTCAGTTTCGACCGAATTTCCTAAAATGTACAGTTCTAATATTCTATTTTCTAGAGATTTTGTAATCGTTTAGCATGATGATCATTTTAAAAAAAAAACGCTTGAATAATCTCTGTTAAGGTCAGAAATAATTGCTGATGCATCTTATCGATAGCCATAAAGAAAAGTAAAAAATAAGTATAAAAGACTTAATTGTTCAAACAATAGATGAGCTAGTTTAATAAATGTTCAGAAAACTCGAGATAAATAAGAAAAATCATCTGGTTTAATCAATAAAAAAAAAAAACGTTTTCAGGTGTATACAAACAGGGGATAAAAACAAAAAATTATATACACGATTAAGTCTTTCCGGTTTGAAAATATGTCTATACGACTACCAGCTTATTGTCCAGTATAAGTTATTTCCTTGTTAAAAATTGGCATAAAACCAAACACCTTTAACTTATTCACGCCACGTCGAACTTTTAAGTAAGTTTAATTTCACTTTACGTTGTCGATCTCGGACGTGATTTTTACAGACAGGTGTTTTTTTTTTTGTATAATTGTCTAGCAGTCTAAATAATTATTCTAGTGGACGTAATAGTACTACCACTACCTTTATGTTCCATGCAAATGATGCGTTTAAAATGCTGCGTATATGATAATACACCCCTTATTGTTAAGTATAATTTTTGGGATATTCCCCCCCTATTTAAGCTTTATATATATATATAATATAATTATGCAAATACATACGTATACTGTAACTAACCTTGATAAATTGCCTGGAAAAAAAAATCTCGTGTTGTTGGCTCCACCAAAACAATTTCCCTTTTAATTAAATTTATTATTTTAATTTTTTAAAAAAAATTTTCTGTATTTAGAAGAAAGGAGAGCGAGTAAAATTTCCATTTTACTATAAAAATAAACATTATAATAATTTTTTTTAAAAGATTTATACTTGTATTATCGATAAAATGGACGTGAGTCGTGCCACGTGATTGGTCAAAAGTTTCGCACGTGACCGTCGTCGAGACTCTCAACTACTTGCCTTACCAGTTTGGCAAGACAGAAGATGTAGGACAGATCCCGTATTTGGACGGCGGATCAGAACTAGGCCAAATTGCCGACTGCTTTCGCCATTGAACGGTAGATGCGGCTATGGGGTGCAGAGGGGTGACACCGTGTCCACCGGACTTATTCCGTGTACGTTACTTGGGAAGCACCACTCTTTCTTTATCCAGAAAGCAAATTGGCATCGGTGTCCTTCAGCGACCGTTATTGGAGTTATACTCGGCTGCACGAAGGAGAGGTGATGACCATAGGAAAAGTTCTACTCTGACGCTCAATCAGCGATTAGATATATCCGATTACGGCTTGGTCGTGGCCAAAAACGATCGGGACAACTCCACCATCGTCATCAAGGTGATCACTCCCGTTTCCAACATTGCACTGTGGGCTGCTGTACGTTTTCATTCGAAAATCGGTAAAAGAAGAAGTTTCGCAGCTTCCTTCGCTCCGATTGCCTGCTCGGAAGGGATCGTCGATCCTAAATGGTACATACAATTAGGTAACAAGCAACGTTTTCTGGTCAGTTTGACTCATCCGTCTCTGTTTACGTGTCTGTTACGTCGTGTGGCTTCACCGAAATCGTTCGAGTGCCACGCATTCGTTTGTGCAACGGCAGAAGATGCATTGACCATCAGTTCGCTACTGGGCAATGTCAAGGATCAGCGTAATAGGTTAGGATCGATTTCTCCTTTCTCGGATTCCACTTATTACAAGAACAGTCTATTAAGTACCGAGCTACTTTACACAGAAGACGATACTGTCACTGACGTTACCATACCGCACAGTCCACTAACACCGTCGAGTGGATTCGATTATCGTAAATCGGATGTTTTGGATGATAATAATCAATTAGCTTCGTCTTTTTCTGATAGTACTTGTGTTTTTTCTGATGGAAGACAGAGTAACGCATTTATTTCCGATAAAAGTTATACGGCATCTCCTGTAGAAATGGTCACTCTGAACGTGCAGAATACTCAGAAAAGATTTCATACGAGAGGAGGAGATACTATGACTATAAGTAAAACAATGGATTTTGGAAGTGAAAGTGAAGCTGGGTGGTCTAGCAAATGGGAGCCTGCAGTGCCTCCGAGGAGAAACCGTAAAAGTAAGTCACACCGAAGTGAACCTTTATTGCAAATCGAAGAAGAGCATAGAGCGGAATATGCAAATAGCACGGCCAAAAACTGGGAAAAGGAAGAACTTTCTGAAACGTTGGATTTTAGTAGTGAAAGTGATCTATCTTCCGGTTCAGACAGTAGATTTTTAACCATTCATTCTCCACATTCCGTAACTACTGATTCCGATATTGATTACAGAATTAAAACGCAAGATACTTTAAGGAGATCTTTCCATTCCGAGAGGAAACGTTTAAATAACGGATTCGGAAATGGGCACAGAGAAATCGAATGTAAAAATTGGTCATCGGATAGTCCTACTCAATTTATTCCTTCGTCACGTTCTGCAACAATTCCAAGAACAAAAACGAAACCGAAAGGTATTCGATGGTGTTCTGACGAACCTAGACCTCAGCGACCAAATTTTTTAGTTGCAATTAAAAAATTCAGCATGAGATCTTTTAATAGAGCCAAATTTCGGACTGATAAATTAATAAACAGTTTTCGTTCGAAAATAACTAAAATGAAAAGTAAGGATGCCGTTAGTTCTACCGATTCTGCTTACGAAACACCAGAAGTTTGTCTACGTCCCGATGGGAATACATCTAGGCAAAAAGTTTGGAGATTTAGCAACACGGAACCAGTCAATTCTCGAAATTCTAAAAGTTTAAGATATCCGTCTGCTTTAGATCAAGCCGAAAGTTCGTCCGGATCACAATTGGGAAATTCATTAATGAGGCAAACTCCCCATCGTAAGAAAAGACGAAGACGGAGAAGATGGCAACCGGGACCAAAATCGTCATCGGATTCGGGTGTAGAAGAATATCATTCGGATTATTCCGATACATTAAATGGAATGCAAAAATCGGAATCCGAATTAGAACACTTTGCTAGTAAAGTAAGTTTAGTCAATGTAGAACATGGTATGTCACCATCGGAATTTCGCAAATGGTCTAAAACAAACATTCACGAAGAACTGGGTTATATACCATAGAGATTCCATCGAAAACCAGTGTGAAATAATTGAAATAGTCCGAAGAAACAATGCATTGTGCCATATTGCATGGGCGAATAATTTCGCGAAATTAAATTCTAGTACTTATTAATTGGAAAATATTCTTTAGTAGTATAATAAATTATACAGTTTCTTTTTAAATTACATTTTTATTCTTAAATTATTCATTTATATATTCATCTGGACGGCAAGTATTGTTTATTTTTAGGTTATCTCTAACTGAAAATAAAAAAACAAGGTACATCTCTATTACTTCAATTCATTATCGATCCTTTCAGTTAGATAATGAATACAACTCTTTTGTCTTCTAATTAGTGTCATCTCTTATTGTTTTTGTATTCTTTTATTAAAATTGATGCGACTATCATGACCGCCTTTTAGACAATGTAAAAAAATGTTAACTAAATATTGAACATTGGCATGCTCTAAGGAAGTTTTATCGTACATTGTTTTGACTTTATTTCTTTTCTTAAACGGGTGAGCTAATTCTAAATCGTGCGGATAAACAAGATAGTGTTGTATCCGTGACAACTATGTTGGAAGCTTGCTCAACGAGTAAGACTTATTTCCAGTTTAAAATAGAATCTGTTACCGAATACCATTATAGACCATTGACATACAAGCAGTCAGTTAAGTTTACAGGATAAGATTTAATAGAAGTATTTATGTGTAGACACTGTTTACAATGGAAAAAAACAAAACTGTATACGCTTAGGCGTATGTAGACATATTTTTTGTAGTATTAAGCTTTTAATTTAGGCGTTTTTAACGTTAGAAATATTCGAATATGAGCTAATTCTACTACTGTTACTACACAATTTCTTTCGTCATGTAAATTTTTATTGTTGTTTCAAATGTTGATATCATAGTTATTTATGGATAGTGTTTCATTGTGGTTCATCCAGTTTTAAAGAAATTTCACCGACACATTTCCTGATTTTCAGGAAATTCAATTTAATTAAAAGGTGTTCTTAAAAATCATATAAAATAATACTAATTCGTATAATATTTACTATTTTACTGCTATCTTTCATTATCTCTATACAAGTATATAAAAACAATATGTTTCTATTTTTCTATAACTATAATTAGCCTTTACCTATTTTGTTTGCATAAATACTACTTAATTTAACGTAGTATAAATATACAAGCAGAGTTTGAGGTCATTTCTATTTATATTCGTTCAAATCAATAAGATTTCCCTTTCAGATGAAGGGCAAATCATCAATAAAACAAATTTATTAAGCAATTAAATAATCAAGTTTTATTTATAGTTATATTTACTCATAATAACTAATTAAAATTTCTGTCAACACTTAAATAGAAACTTGTTTTACTTCAATTAATGTATTTATTATAATGATTAATTACAAATAGTCTCGCTTTACCATCCCAGTGGCGCGTTATAGCTTCGTGGTACCCGAACAAATTTGAATTAGGGGGCCTCATATACAGTGTTGACTTCAAACATTATTTTTCTGGAGAATTTTTTGGGGAAATATTTTATTATAAAAGATTGGTTTGGGGCATCCTGTTGGTGGGGTCCCCTGGCAATTGCTCTTTTTGTCCGTAGGATAACGTGCCACTGTACGACCTTACTGATCAAATTTATTGTTATAATTTCATTAATCTTTATGAAAGTAAAGTAATTTAAGATGGTACGAACCCTGGGTTTCCTGATTACGATACTTCTATGTATGGTATTATAGCCCTATAGTTCATTGTACGTAATCTTAATTTATGTCATTGAATTTTCTTAGAAACAAGCTGGTTCTTGAAAGACCCGTCATTAACGGAACTAAGTCGTAAAAGAGGGATTTCCTACATATTCATTTCAGTACTAACGATCCATGAAAACTTTATCACAGGATGCCGTTCGGAAAGTATGAAATTTCTATTTTAAATAATTTAAAACGCTTTATTAATATAATCGGGATCAAACCAGAACTGAACGATATTTAATTAAGCAAAAAGTTAGTTACCACGGGTCATTTTCTATGTATTGTACATTGACTTTCGGCAAGTTTACACGAAAACCTTGAACCTCACTTCCGATGGTTGTTCAAATTGAGTAATTTCCCAATTATCATTATACGTTCTGAGTGACGACCGGATGACCAAGACGATAAAGACATCACCCTGTCTTTCTGAAGGATCAAATTCACGTCCGGGCCGGAACCTCGGAAATTTTCGCGGATAGTTTGACCGGATATGTCGAAACCAGTTCCTTTCGGTCGTCCTCCCCAGTGTGAATCATGGAAAAAAACAGTTTATTATTCACTTCAAGGCATAAAGAATTTCGATTTGAATTTTATAATAGTGTTTTTCTTAATTATTTTGAGATTTCCTCCCCAATTATTGATCACTGTATTAATCTAAATACATATAAATTTTATCTGTAAAAGGGATTTTATTTAAACGTTGGGAGGAGGTGATAGAGGTGAAAGGAAATACAGTATTGTACTTGTTTCCTTCAAATAAAAGGCACGATAAATAAAACTTAGATTTTCCTTATTACTAAAATTACTAGGAAAATTTATTTATATCTAAAAACTAGTTTTTCTGGATTTAAAAAGAAAAATTGGTGAGAATTTCACTATAAACTGTGACATTTCGTTATATCATTTCGTTTCATAAGTCACAAATAGCATACTTAAATAACATAATATTTTAATTAATCTATTAATTAGAACTCCAGAACGACAATCATAGTTACAATTCACAATTTCGTGGAAAAAACCCTAATAAATTGGAGTAAAAGTGTCTTTACAATTCGTTCCCTTACCCACTCCGGAATTGCATAATGCAGTATGAGGTCTGTGGCAGTGTGGACCTTTATATTGAGGCTATCATGCTGCCATATAATAGCCTGTACTAGCCTAAATTAGGCTGATAGAGGCTAATACAGGTAGTCTGGACCCGATTGTAGACATAACGAGCGTAATTGTGATCGGATATTTATCCTATAATATGCTGGTTAATTAATTACTAAATCAAAATTTATAAATTTCCTAAAATTTCTTTGTTGATCATTTTAAAAAAATCATAAAAATTCCCTATATAATATCTAGTTATTTAGCAATAAAATTTTAGTGATAATAAAAGTAAGTTAATGATAGTATAATAAGCAGTGTTTACAATAATTGCCTTATTATTAAGTTTATAAATAAGTTTATTGCCTTCACTTGTACAAGGTTAAAAGAATTGCTGTATTAATCAATTGAGTAATTCGTCTTGAAATTACTATAATCATTGTATAAATACACTGACAAAAAATAGAAATTGTTACACTATGAAATATTTTATAGATTATCACGTAATTTTGTGGACGTCTCAAACATTTTACACGATAAAATACTGATTAAAGTGTAGATTTAATACTAAAGCATTTACAGATGAAAATGAGAACAATTAATAAAAGAGAATGACCATTATGTTTATGAATAAGGTTTTTCACGGTATTTCAAATACGCTGAAATGTAGACAGATATGGAGACCTTGATAGTCATTCTACCGTCTCAACATCTCTCAAGGCTCTATTGTAATGATTAGTTATATGGGCATTATAATTAAATGGGCATCGCATTAAATGCGTGAATCAGTTAAAATATTTAGGGGAAATTCTAGACCCCAGGCTAACCTGGAAGGCTCACACACACTACCTATACGACAAGGCAACGAAGGCTATCCATTCCTTCAGGAGCATTGCAAGGAACATTTGGGGGCTTGACCATCGGAATGCCAAGTTAACTTACAAGGGGGCTATCGAGCCCATCCTGACTTACGGATGTGAGGAGTGTGGCTACGCCGTCCTTAAGATGCATATTCGCCGGAAACTCCTTTCGGCCCAGCGTATGGCGGCTATAGTAGTAACCAAAGCCTATCGAACTGTACCAACGGACGCCCTTCTTGTCATCGCAGGACACCCCCTTATTCAGCACGTCATCATGAGCAGGTATATCAAAAACCTCCTCATAAAGCTCAACACTCTTAATAATGACAACACTCTGACTAACAGGGCAATCAATGAGCTCCCGGAGGCCATCCACCCCATTGTCAAAGACATTAAGGACTATGGGATCGACAAAACGGTCGAAACCGACACCACCCACCCAGCTGCCATTGAGAGCTGCAATATCTATTTCAACCATCTTCTCCCTACTAAGGGAGTCAACTTTTATACTGACGGCTTCAAAACTTACAACACGGTTGGCACTGCTGTGTACCTCGACGACCCCAGCAAGAGGCACTACTGGCAAGCAGTAGCCTCTCTCAACAATCACTGCACCATCAATCAGGCTGAGCTATCATGCACAGTCCGAAATACATCAAAACCAACATTCAGCATTTTAAACGAACCACTATCAACATCTTAAGTGACAGCCGCACAGCCCTCCACCAATTGAACAATGGCAATCGCCAGCTCCCCATCATCAACAACTGCCTCCAGATCATAGGAGAGATTGGTCAGGTGGTTTCTATCAACCTGCACTGGGTAAGGGGACACATTGGGATTTACGGCAATGAGAAAGCTAATGCTCTTGCCAAGAAAACCCATACAATCACGAGTAACTGCAGTTACGCCGCCATCCCCCCTCTCTGTCATCAAAAGCAAACTTAATGCCATCATTATGGATAACTGGCAAAAGAAATGGAACGCCAGTACCACCGGGCCTCTAACTCACCAATTCCTGCCCAACATCAGCAAAAGGATGACACTTAACTTCTTCAACACCAATCACGCCATCACCCAGCTCTTGACACATACGGTAATTTCAGGGTCTATCTCCACCGTTTTCTCAAAAAAGGAAGCAGTACTTGCAATTGCGGAATTGAGGAAGACGAGGACCCTTACCACGTAATCTTTACTTGTGCAAATCACAGGGCCCATAGGCCCCTCTCAGGGACAGGTTCCAGGCAGAGGATCATCATTGGCCCTGCCCCCTTGAGGCCCTTCTCCACAACAAGAAAATCTTCTCAACCTTTAAGGCCTTTGCCGTAAAGCTTCAACTGGCGGACTACCACAGGAACAACATGCAAATCAACTAATGAAGCAGATCCTCCAACAAAACTCTCATCCTTCATCGTGTGCATGCACGCTTTCTATTTTTAACCAATTGTGTAATTGCCACTTTATTGTCAAATTGTTTTTCTATCTATTGTTGTTTCACAATCGCGCCACCACCTTGTACACAGGTATTGTATATCCTGTATTCTGTATATTCTGTATTTTGTTTCTCTCTTATTCTCATTAATAAATGTGTTGCTGGCGCTCATGATCCTACCCCTTCACCATCTATCCTATCTCTCTTTCCATTTCACCTTCACTCCTCTCCTAAACCTCTCTTTCCTTCCCATTTCACCTTCGAGCGATACCACTGAGTAGTCTCGAGCTTTCACCCCTTTTCCAGTAACGATGTAGCGATATATGGGCATTATCATGCTTTAAAAAAACACCATTTTGGACTGTTACTGTTCGATAGTTATTGCATCTTAAACATCCAACTTTAACCTTTTCCCACCTCTTTGCCGGACATGTTGATATCGATCATATTGTCTTGAACAGAATCTTGATTCGTCGTTGAATAATATTTTTGTCATTCAGTAGTCCAGTCATTCTAGTTATACACCATACTAGATCTATTGGCAGTGATATCGAGTTAGAGATAATCATTANAATATTTAGGGGAAATTCTAGACCCCAGGCTAACCTGGAAGGCTCACACACACTACCTATACGACAAGGCAACGAAGGCTATCCATTCCTTCAGGAGCATTGCAAGGAACATTTGGGGGCTTGACCATCGGAATGCCAAGTTAACTTACAAGGGGGCCATCGAACCCATCCGTAAGTCAGGATTGCATATTCGCCGGAAACTCCTCCCGGCCCAGCGTATGGCGGCTATAGTAGCAACCAAAGCCTATCAAACTGCACCAACGGACGCCCTTCTTGTCATCGCAGGACTCCCCCCTATTCAGCACGTTATCCTGACCAGGTATATCAAAAATTTCCTCACAAAGCTCAACACTCTGACTAACAGGACAATCAATGAACTTAAGCTCCCGGAGGCCATCCACTCCATTGTCAAAGACATTAAGGACTATGGAATCGACAAAACGGTCGAAACCGACCCCACCCACCCAGCTGTCATTGAGAGCTGCAATATCTATTTCAACCATCCCCTCCCTACTAAGGAAGCCAACTTTTATACTGACGGCTTCAAAACTGACAACACGGTTGGCGCTGCTGTCTACCTCGACGACCTCAGCAAGAGGCACTACTGGAAATCAGTAGCCTCTCTCAACAATCACTGCACCATCAATCAGGCTGAGTCGTTAGCCATCCTGCACAGTCTGAAATACATCAAAACCAACATTCAGCATTTTAAACGAACCGCCATCAACATCTTAAGTGACAGCCGCACAACCCTCCACCAATTGAACAATGGCAATCGCCAGCTCCCCATCATCAACAACTGCCTCCAGATCATAGGAGAGATTAGTCAGGTGGTTTCTATCAACCTGTACTGGGTAAGGGGACACACTGGGATTTACGGCAATGAGAAAGCTGATGCTCTTGCCAAGAAAGCCCATACAATCACGAGCAACTGCAGTTACGCCGCCATCCCCCTCTCTGTCATCAAAAGCAAGCTTAGCGCCATCATTATGGATAACTGGCAAAAGGAATGGGACGCCAGTACCACCGGGCGTCTAACTCACCAATTCCTGCCCAACATCAGCAAAAGGATGACACTTAAGTTCTTCAACGCCATCACCCAGCTCTTGATTTCAGGGCCTATCTCCACCGTTCTCTCAAAAAAGGAAGTAGTACCTGCAATTGCGGAATTGAGGAAGACGAGGACCCTTACCACGTAATCTTTACTTGTGCAAATCACAGGGCTCATAGGCCCTCTCAGGGACAGGCTCCAGGCAGAGGATCACCATTGGCCCTGCCCCCTTGAGGCCCTTCTCCAAAACAAGAAAATCTTCTCAACCTTTAAGGCCTTTGCCGTAAAGCTTCAACTGGCGGACTACCACAGGAACAACACGCAAATCAACTAATGAAGCAGATCCTCCAACAAGACTCTCATCCTTCATCGCGTACATGCACGCTTTCTACTTTTAACCAATTGTGTAATTGCCACTTTATTGTCAAATTGTTTTTCTATCTATTGTTGTTTCACAATGGCGCCACCACCTTGTACACAGGTATTGCATACCCTGTATTCTGTATATTTTGTATTTTGTTTCTCTTTTATTCTCATCAATAAATGTGTTGCTGGCGCTCATGATCCTACCCCTTCACCACCTATCCTATCTCTCTTTCCATTTCACCGTCGCCTCTCTCCTAAACCTCTCTTTCCTTCCCATTTCACCCTCGAGCGATACCACTGAGTAGTCTCGAGCTTTCACCCACTTTCCAGTAACGATGTAACGATATATGGGCATTATCATGCTTTAAAAAAAACACCATTTTGGACTGTTACTGTTCGATAGTTATTGCATCTTAAACATCCAAATTTGATCTTTTTCCACCTCTTTGCCGGATATGTTGATATCGATCATATTGTCTTGGACAGAATCTGGATTCATCGTTGAATAATATTTTTGTCATTCAGTAATCCAGTCATTCTAGTTATACACCATACTAGATCTATTGGCAGTGATATCGAGTTAGAGATAATCATTATACAGGAACACGTGATAGTATTGGCATTCTGTTTGTCAGAATTGATCAGATTTCGACTGCAATCGTTCGTCCGTTAATGACAGATATCCGAACAATTCTATGGTCTTCCATGTTGTTTTCCTTCTGCAAAATCCATTGACACGAGTGTTTTCCTTATTCCATCGTTTAAACCATTCTTGGAACACTGTGGCCTACTCTTCGAAGATTCTGGCGAAAAAATGCACCAATTTCAGGATGCATCCTTTCATTCCAATAATTCAGCCTTCCTCATAGTCTGGCAAGTGTTTGCAATGAGCTCTAGTCAAAATATGACACCTATTCAATGTAGCTTTTCTTATATTTTGCAGAAATGAGAAGGTATCAACGTCATAATTTGATCGATTGATGCAGTCAGTATGACTGTTAAGTTTGTTGAATTTCACAAAAATCGTTCAATGTTTTTATGACGTAACATCTATTTCCTTCAGTAAGATTATGCATGATTTTCTATACGTTAATGTACTTTTATGTTACTATATAATATTCGTTCGTAAAGCGAATCGAAAATTCTAATAAAATATGAGTATCAGTACTTTGCATAAATAAACTATACCAATTAAACCTGAACAAAGTAAAGTCAATCACAAGTGTGAACGTTTCTATCCGAATGCCATAAAAACATATGAATAAAATCAACAAAATAAATAAATAATACATTGTAAACCATTTATTAAAAGTTTAACGTACTGTATATTGTGTTTTTGGGTCAACACTGCGCTAAAATTCGGTCCAAACTAAATGGATGGAATTGATAAGGTAATGCAAAACATGAGCAGTCTGTCAAGGTGGTGTCTCCCTGGAGGATTTTCATTGCAATGTATCGAAATTCATACGAATAAATTCTCCAGATGTTTTAATATAAAAAGCATTTCTAAAACAAATAAGAGGGCGAAGATGTGAAGGTAATATTTAAAAATTAAAGGTATAAAAACTAAGATAAGAAGATACTGAATGAACTAGATACCATTCCTAATGGAAAAAAAAAAACGTGGAATCATTATATCTGCAATGAGTTACGAACAAAAATGCTAACAATTTCCTCTTCTAATCACGAATCGTGATAAAACCATTCCATTTATTAGAAACGAATACCATTGAGTTAAGCAATAAATGGCATTCTTTCAAAACTTTATGATCTAACTCCTAAATTAACAAAGATCTTCGAGGCAGACGAATCTATAAATATTTACAAAATAACAAGTGAAAGAAAGGGATTAATATTAGCGAGGTTGCGGCCGAAGTTTTCATCTGTAAAACGTGAACGTCGAACATCGAGCGCCGCTATCTTGTAAGCGGCGCTCGACGTTCGACGTTCACGTTTTACAGATAAAAACTTCGGCCGTAACCTCTCTATTATATACAAAATTTTATACAATTTATACATACAATTTTATGATATTTAAAACTATGTAATCAAGTTTATATTATTATTATTATTCTACACTAATTTTAATATATTTTCGCAATTTTGTAGTTGAATAATTAAATAAAATAAACTGTGATTAAACATAAAAAATTGAAAGTAGTGGTTATTTAATCTAACTTACATTTTAATTTAACGGGTAAACCTTAACAGATAACAACGTAATCGATATAAATTATAATTTTTATAAGACACAATGTAATCAATATAAACTTCCTTATAAATTAATCCCGTCTGCTTGCAAAGTAATCGATATAAATGGATAAAAATGTCAGTATTATAAAGCGTAGTACATAACAAACCTCGACGTAAAGTTGCTTCTACTACAGTAGTGATTCAACAAACAAATGCATATTTTACAATGTTTACCTTAACTTATTCACAAGAATTACATCAAAATAAACTAAATTTTCACTTGTTTTATTTGAAAGCAAAAAAAATAAACTTATTTTTTATTTTAAAAACATTTTAAATAAGACCAGGTTTTGTCAGAATAGTAGTGTACACTTTAACCTAGAATTGCTATATTTTCTGTAATAAGAAAGTGTATTTTCTTATTACAAGCATTGTAAAATAAACACTGTAAAATACATACACACATTTCACAAAGATTAACGTTTCAGAAATTACATAAAGGTCAATATATTAGATCTATTTTCGAATCAACAATCCTCTTAAACTTGGATCCGAATGCCCTCAAGGAAAACACAAGATGTCCCCATAAGTCTGGAAAGATAGGAGTTATGTTGATCTTTGTTTATTCTTTTAGAGATAAAGCTTGGAGCTGATTTATTTGAAAAAAAACCTCGTTATTTAGATGATTGGGAGAAGAGTTCTCATCATCACACACAACGGCAGTCTGTTAAAGTCTTCAGGAACTTCTATGATTTCAGACTTAAAGTAAGAAGGATTTTCTGTATATTCAATTGTTTACAAGATGTTTGAAGGATACAAAAGGCTTAATCTAATTTCTTTCGTTCTATAATCCCGTCACTAGTCTATAATCTAAGTAAATTGAATTTAAAGCAGATATATAATTAGACAAATTAACTTTCGATCTTAACTAATGATAGTAAAAGGTGGATTAAGACTTCTTCGCAATAATATAGTAATTAGTAACTAAGTTAAAATTCCGATTAAAGAGTACTGTACATCTGATTTAAATCTAGATATATCCTTTAATTACATATAATACATGTATACCGAATGTAATACATATAGAGATCTTAAGAGGGCCTTTTTCTATGGAAAAAGGCCCTCTTTAGGCCCCACAGAACGAAAAGAGAGAAAAATAAACTTACTTAAATTACATCATAAACTGTGTTAAACTGCGGGTTATATGCCGCTAAGTGCCGTACGGCGTGTTTTTTTAGAGCGATTTTAGCGTGTTTTGTTTATAAAATAGAATAGAATTTATTTGTAATAAAATTTAAATTTAAAAAAAAAACACACACACACAATTTTAATGGAAAATTATATGATTATTTGACAATAAAACAGTAAGCAGTTTGTTTTAATAGCTTTAAAAATCGAGCGCAAATCGTTAATTTAAAAGACTACATTTTTATATAATTTAATTTAATAATAAATATTAAAATCTTACCGAAAAGTTTTTAAAAAAAAATTAAATTAAACGATTAAAATTACGAAAATAAATTAAATTAACGAAATACAAAAAAAACCCATTTAAAACTTTCCCCATTTAAGAATTTCATCGCAATTATTATAAAAAAATCGATTTCTCAGTTTAATTTTATTTTATTATTACCAATTAAACCGAAACGTAAAATAAAAACAAAATTATCATTTACTTTTTTTATTATNTGTTTGAACTTAAGATTTGATTTAATTAAATATAAAACAATTCAATTTAAAATCCGAGCGTAAAAGTTAAAGAAAGAAAAAAAAAGTGGAAAAGCGCCATCCAACATCGAGAAGGGAAACTAATAAGAGCAGACGTTCCTATAAAAGGTTATCATTCGAACGGGTAAAGTTGACGACGAATCGAAAGAAAATGGACGAAAGTACGAACAGTATTAAACAGTTTTTCGACGAATTTAATAGATGTAAAACGGAAGATAACGTACAACATCGCAGTAATATATTAAGTAGCTTCAGTATGAAACCGGAAGACGTCAAAGTTGAAGTACTCGACTGGTGTCTCCATTATTTAGAACAAAAGTGAGTTTTAGTTTAAGAAATACTTTCTATTTCGTATAAATATATACTTTTTTAAAGAGTAATTCATAAGAAGAAAGTTATTCTTTAACGAGTAACTCTATACACGTATACATTGAGTGAGTGTGTGTGTGAGTGTGAGTGTAATGTGTGATGTGTGTGTATGTATATAAAGAGTTATTCCTTAAAGAATAACTTTCTTACACACACTTATAACTACAACTACACTACACAGGTTATTCTTAAAAGAGTAACTTTATATACATATACATAAAGTGTGATATGTGATTTGTGTATGGTGTGTGAGTGTGAGTGTGGTGTGTATATAGAGTAACTTAAAGAATAACTTTCTAAACACATAACTACAACTACACTATAAAGTTATTCTTTAAAGAATAACTATCGACACATATATTTCTATAAAAATAATTTGTGTTTAGTGTATTTAGTACGTGTACACGTACTGTACCAAATACACACTCAATACAAATTATTTTTATACAAAGCTAATTTATTTTTATATATTTTAAAATTCATTTTATATACATAAATATGTTTCTCTGCCAGTAGAATTCATAAGAAGCGCCAACAAATACATATCTCCACACTCCGTCTACTTCTATTTCCTTTATCGATATGTATGTGAAGAATTTTTATATACATAAAGTAAATATAAAAATATGTAATATATATATATATATATATATATAGGGCCTATATAACACGCCTACCTTACATACTTATTTATTTACTTTAAAGACGTTTTAATCTAGTTTTAAATACACGAATTAACTACGAAATGTTTGTATTTTTTATTTAAATTTTTCATATCATACTTAGTTTACATATAAATGATACAGGCCTATTGGAAATTTAAAATTTAATAATATTTATGAGATAAACTAAAGAGGTTGGTATATTTTATTTATATTTATTTAAAATATATATTGAATCTCGTTTAGTTTCCATAAAGTATTTATAAATATTTTCTACAAATCAGTTATATATATGTACTTGATATTAATATGGAAGAACAAATCGCCGATGTATCATAAATTTTTACCAAGCATTTCTATATCTAAACACTAAATTATGCCAATATTTAACGTAAATAAAATTCGAGATNGTGAGTGTGAGTGTGAGTGTAATGTGTGATGTGTGTGTATGTATATAAAGAGTTATTCCTTAAAGAATAACTTTCTTACACACACTTATAACTACAACTACACTACACAGGTTATTCTTAAAAGAGTAACTTTATATACATATACATAAAGTGTGATATGTGATTTGTGTATGGTGTGTGAGTGTGAGTGTGGTGTGTATATAGAGTAACTTAAAGAATAACTTTCTAAACACATAACTACAACTACACTATAAAGTTATTCTTTAAAGAATAACTATCGACACATATATTTCTATAAAAATAATTTGTGTTTAGTGTATTTAGTACGTGTACACGTACTGTACCAAATACACACTCAATACAAATTATTTTTATACAAAGCTAATTTATTTTTATATATTTTAAAATTCATTTTATATACATAAATATGTTTCTCTGCCAGTAGAATTCATAAGAAGCGCCAACAAATACATATCTCCACACTCCGTCTACTTCTATTTCCTTTATCGATATGTATGTGAAGAATTTTTATATACATAAAGTAAATATAAAAATATGTAATATATATATATATATATATATATAGGGCCTATATAACACGCCTACCTTACATACTTATTTATTTACTTTAAAGACGTTTTAATCTAGTTTTAAATACACGAATTAACTACGAAATGTTTGTATTTTTTATTTAAATTTTTCATATCATACTTAGTTTACATATAAATGATACAGGCCTATTGGAAATTTAAAATTTAATAATATTTATGAGATAAACTAAAGAGGTTGGTATATTTTATTTATATTTATTTAAAATATATATTGAATCTCGTTTAGTTTCCATAAAGTATTTATAAATATTTTCTACAAATCAGTTATATATATGTACTTGATATTAATATGGAAGAACAAATCGCCGATGTATCATAAATTTTTACCAAGCATTTCTATATCTAAACACTAAATTATGCCAATATTTAACGTAAATAAAATTCGAGATGGAAACAACAACAAGTTTTAAAAGCAAATTTATTTATTTTTAAAATTTGGAATATAATTTTATTGCACAAAATACCTCGAATAGTTCACTTTAGTTTGTTTAAATTTAGGAAATAAAAATAAAGAGCAACAATAGTAAATAGTGTATTCCATCTAGGACAAGACACTCGGAATTTTGCCAAGATATTTGTGGAGTGTTGATGTTAAGATTTTATATATATATATATATGCATTTTTTAAAATATATAATAAATTGTCATACCACTGGAAAGTATTAAACGTTAAAACATGGTATTAGAAGTTTAATAATAATTAAATTTAACAAGTTTGAACACAATAGGCTGGTGTATTTTACAAATCCTAGCGATTATACGATGAACACGTTCGAGTTCAAAATCCTTTTAGTTCCTTCTTAAAATAGAAAGAACAATAGCTGTTAATTTATACGTTGTATATATAAATATATACGACTCTGTTTGCTGTTAAATCAAGGATTAAATTACAACTTAATTAGTCATTTTTAAAATTATACTAAACTATTTTATTCTAGTATACTAACGAAGCAGGAAATAATGTAAATTTTCTATATTAATATAAAAAATAACGAGGCGATTAAAGAAAGTAAATAATCAAAAAATTCTTAAAACATAAACAAATTTTTAATTCCTTAGAATAATATAATCAAATTGGAAGTTTAAAATCTAACACAGAATTAATTAAAACAGATAGAAATTGTCGTCAGTAGTACGCTGTGTTGAATTATAATTTATGTGAAGTGTCTTTTCAATTTCAAGTTCTAATCAAATATTGATCTTTCAATAGTCATTCGTTGTGTGTGTGTACTTTATAACAAATATTGTGTACACGTAATCCCGCATTAATGTAAAATGACAGTAAGTGTACATTGTGAGATTTTCTGTATAAAAAGACTTGGCTGCAAGATTTAATTTAACAAAAGACAAGTTGGAATTAATAGCAAAAATCTAAGAGAAACGAATAAATAATATATTAAAGTTTTAAAATTTTAATATAATAACAATAGAATAATAATAAAACGTCCAGAAAGAAAATATTATCTGATTAAAGTTTAATTTTTAAATATTATTTACTTTAATAGAAAATAATAATAATAATCGAAATTTAGTTTTTATATATAAATATATTTAAACGAAAATTATTTTTTAAAAATTTAATTAAATTTATAATTACTTGCGTATTGAAAAAGTTCAATAACCTCTATGGCATCAAAATATACGAGGGAAGGCAAACTTACAAGATAATTAAGTAATGCAAGGATAATTACCTACAGGGGACAGAGTGTCTAAGAAAATAAGCATTTATAATTTAAATATTTAAAAATTTTCCCGTAAATTTTGTCTTTATTAATAGTCTATAACCTTTAAACTATAAGAAAACAGTTACTTTGTATATAAATTCGTGGAAAACTACATTTATCTAAATCAGACAACGGTATTCAGTTAGAGCAACGGAGCAGAAATCTTTATAAATCTAACTCCATGCTCCTTCAAATTTATAATAATAAAAGAATAAATATTTGTATTAATGCAAATATTTATTCTCTTGTTATTCAGCAACGAATACACGCTCTTGTTTTGTTCTTTTTGATATATCAAATTGTCGATTCTCTATCAGATTGACAAATTATATAAAGATGTAAACTGGATATATACACGAAAGTAACTGTTTATATAAGTTACATATTAATTAATTCACATATAAGTATATGAATGATATACAAACTGATTAAATTATATTTATATAGTATATTTAAATCACAAATTATACTTGTACAGATTATATACTTCTTGGAAGAGATAACTCAATTATAAATATATAAATTATGAACTATCCATTTACGAAAAGTTATTGACAGGTGTTCGGCTTTCCATAATACTATATGCAGTAATCAGATGTATTAATTATTATAGGGGTTACACCAGAACGTTGTTTCCGTTTTGTATCTTGCTTCTACGTAATGGTTTTTGCTCGTAAATTTTTAAGGGATAGAAAAAAATTACAGACAATATCCAATGTTTTTCACGTCAAAGAAAGAACAATTCATAATACATTCAAACAATATGTGGAGGAGGGATTATTTTCTCATAAAGCCAGCAGATTATCCTCTTTTAATGCCATTATGTTGCCGGGAAAGTTAAGCAACTCGTTGCTGGATTTTCTTACGTAATGATGCTAAGGTGTTAAAAGCAATTACTTTTTAGTTTTTTTAATCACTTATTAATCATAATCTTCTCTTTATACATATCCTTATCCCTACTGTGTAAGAGGCGTAATACAATGGATATTTTCATTTATATATCCAAGCGTTGTAATCAATCGACATACGAGAACGACAACTTTCTGGGAGGGATTGTACAGTACATATTTACATATCTGTTAATCCTAACTATTGACTATTAAAATTGCAGGTCTAGCAGCAAACAAAAACGACGTTAGAGCAATAAGATCATTCATCACTCTACCCTAGAATGTAATCAATCAAAATCTGTCATTAGTTTTTTTTGTCGTCCACACGGGAATCTCCTGTCGTGTTTTCAGAAGTAGCTAAGTTTTCGCGACAATAATAATTTAATTAATTATCTCTGCTGTTTCTGGCGAACATTTCGATTGAATAACAGGTGTAATGTATTAACATCAACCGAAGCAAAACTTCCTATTCAATTCGTTTGTTCCGTTTGTTTGGGTAGAAAATTCTTTTCTCGTCACGGAAGAACGGAGAAGTCATTTTTCAAGTTCTGACTTGCATAGAAAAATAAGTGAAAATATACAGAGACTTTCGTACTAGTTTAAGTCTATGATTACGGAAAATCAGAGGGTGATAGAAAAATTTCAATCCCATATATGAAATCAGTACAAAAAGTTCTATTAGTTCCATTCAAAGCTTCAAAAATACATTTATGTTTACTATATCCGTTTACAGTATTAATTATACACAGTAAGTAATAAAATTTAAATACCAGAAGATGAAAAACAAATTATAATTACTTTTAAATGTCATATAGCAAAATGAATGACTACTGTTAGTTCGCATTCTTTTTAGATTTTAATTTTAGGTCACTGCTGTATTTTTGCTTGTAAGTCATATGTCATTAATGATATTTAGACAAGTATGCCAGACAGATAAGTTGAGCCAATAAAACTAAAGAAGCAGCTATTTTTATGGGATCAACTTATCTTACTGACAATCTATAATTTAACATTTTACCGTTACATTCATTTTCAGTTATTTTATTTTTTGTTAACGATTTCGTTGACAAGTAGATAATAACATTAGCTAAATAACTACAATATTTATTGTTACTTAATTGTGATCGATATCATTAATTAATAATTGATAAAGTTTGTGTTGAAATGCTTCAAGTTTCAGTCGAACGTTCCCAATATTTTCGCCGTAAAAGTCAAAACCAGATGAAGCTACTGTAATCTTTTCAGGAATATAATGGTGAAATCTATGGTATTTAAATGTCAAAGGTTTCTGCAATCACTCCCAAACAATGAACAACGATTCAACTTGAAATAATTAAATTGTCTTGAAGTATATTTCGAATTTGAAATATCGTATTTGGCCTTAAAAAATTTACCCTTTCTCTTTCACTAACACAATTATTTTTGTTTAAAAAAAAAGAGTTTCTGGCTTCAAACTGAATAAAATGGATGGTTAAATATTTATGTTTTCAGTCTTTTAAAGGTTACTTTGAAGCAAGATTTTTAAATCATATTATCATATTTTAAAAAACTTTTCTGGAGTTCTAATAGAATTATATTTTTATAAGTTGTCATGTCGGTAGAGAAATCTGAATAGACTTACAAATAATAGTTACCTATATATTGCTTTTGAATAAATTCAAGTGATTTTATGGAATTTTATGTTATCATTTATAAACTCATCGGCAAAATAGTTATGCACTTAGGTTGAATTGTCCAATTACTGCAAAACTCGGCATACAGCTAATGTCTCATATAGATATGTAAATGGTCCGATTCCACGCCAAGATTTCCACTTAAAATCGCTATCCCAATACCACGTATGCTTTAAAAAAGCTTGCAGAGGTCACTCAGTTCAGAATTTTCAGTGCACCTGTTGTTTGGAAGTTTTCGAATGTTAGGCATGTCTACGATGCAGTCAAAGATATAGTATACAACTGATGGAACTTGAGAAAAGTCACACTAACGGGTTAATATTACAAATAACTTCGTTTATAATATCAATTTGTTCTGTTACTGTACTGTCTTATAAATGGGTAGTAGTAGTATGAAGGATTCAAATTTCCATATTGTTTTATACTGTAAAACAATATGGAAATTAAATGCATTTTCAGAGGAGATACATACAGAACATTGTCATTTCATACTAAACCATAAATCGATTTCACATTATTTGAGAAATTTATTATTCGGGAGTAAAAATTAATAATTTTTAGCATTGATATAATTCCATAGAAGTTATTCTTATACTAGGCCTACTAGTTAAGTAAATAGAAATATTACCTTTTGATGAAGACTTCGCAGGTATCGTTCTGGACTTGTATCCATTAGTCAGAAGCCATTCAGAATTTTATCTCAATACGAGTAAACGTCTCTTATTACATTATAATTGCCCTACAGTCCTTACTTCGAATTTATTTTTGTCTACTTGGACATTACTCATTAATAGGACTTTATACTGGTTAAAAAAAATGATTTTTTTTAACACCAGTATAAAGTCCTACTAATGAGTAACGTCCAAACAGACAATTAAAAATACTGTAAATTCTCTTAGTACACTTTAATTCGTCAAGACGAATTTCATTACCATCTTTGTTTAGAAGTGCAGTGACAACACACAAACAAGTATAGTGACACGCGTACCCAATGCGTTCTTCTATTTTATATAATAATAAATTTTAAATTATTAATTTAATTAATTAATCATAAATTTTTCGACATAACCACTGCCACGCTGGACATTTTGGGATTTTTCTGAACGTTGCTTCATAGTGTCGCCTCATATTCCAACGTCAAATAAAAATGATGATAATTAATTAAAAATATATAGGCTACATCGGTGTATAGCAGTGTTTCTCAACGGGGCGATATCGCCCCTATGTGGGTGTTTTTGCATGTTGAGGGGGCGATTGGTAACAATTCATATTTTGGGAGGCGAAAAACAATTTTCTGGGCGATATAGTAAAACATTATATTAAGAATAATTAGATATTTTATTCGTTATATCGTATGATAACTAAACAAATAACATTATACTAGTCACTAGTCTATTCAATGCAGTACAAATTTGGCGTTAGCCTTGGTCCTTGGCATCAGAATTTTGAAGTGAAGGGGGCGATACTACGTAACGGTTTCATTGAAGGGGGCGATACTACGTAACGGTTTCATTGAAGGGGGCGATACTACGTAACGGTTTCATTGAAGGGGGCGATACTAAGTAAGGGTTTTATTGAAGGGGGCGACGATTCGTTAGAGGTTGAGAAACACTGGTGTATAGCCTATATACTCGTATATACATACAGGAAATCCTCGTTAATTCGAAATCCCGTTAGTTCATAACTGTACTTTTGTCCCGGCTGGGCATAGAGGTTTGCATATTAAGGATTTCGATTAATTCGAAATAAATAAGGCTACTTTGAAATTCGAAGGAAAAATTCTGTCCGAACTGTGATAAATATGCAATAATAAATGTTTCTTAATAAATATGTCCTGAATCATGCATTTCTGAAAGGTTTCGTTTTTCGGGTTTTGTTCAGATTTTACCCATTTGTGAGACAATGTACTGTACAGTGGCATATCAACCTTCAAACTAAGGAAGCCATCAGAAAAATCGAATACTGTTTGCCGCCCCCGCCATACAGTCACTAAATGACTCATCTCTTTGGTAAATTGAATAATGCTTTACGAGGAACCAACAAAGGATCTGACGACGAGTAACCAGTGGCAGCAACAAAAACGTGGCTAAAGAATGTTGGTCCTGAGTTATACCGAGCAGGGTATAATCTCGCTCGGTATAGGCTACTCAGGCCAACATTCTTTTCTCTTGAAACAAGTGACTTACAGGTAATTGTTTCTAGAGAAAAGCTATTCAGAATGATTGATATTAAGTGAAAAAATAAAACAACGATGGACAATGGACGTATTTGAAAAGTCAGAAATCTGAGCCTGTCTGAAACGTGTTCGTAAAGTCGGGTGTCAGAAGTCATGACGTTGTTTGACGTCAACCGAACGCGTTCGAAAATTCAGATCTGGATATGATGTCAGTCAAAAAAGCCTTTTGAAATATGTATATATTATTTCTTTTGGAGTCTTCCTCATATCAGTTAATGTGAATTTTTCTTTTCTTGTTTTTGAAATATTTTCTGTAAGATAAATAACCCCAGCTGACTGCAACATGTATGATTTCTACTATAAAGATTAAGGAGTCATTTGTCATCATTTCTCTCCTTGTATATCAAAATGTTTAAATATTTTCCTGTAAACTGGTTAATTTCTTATAATCCTATGATGAATGGATGTTAATCAGACTGTCACACAATGAGGGATTATTCTACTGTTGTGATGAATCCAAATTCTAAAAGTACAAGTTAAATGTCAACTTGTACTTTTATAAAAAAAAATAAAAATAATTTAATTAGTAAAACTTATAATTAACAAAACTTTTTATTTATTTAGAAAATGTCCACATTCATTAGCATTGACTCTTGCAAAGCTAGTAGCACATCAGCTGAGTGATTCTGTATATGAAATGAGTTTGCAAGCTGATGAAGGCATAGATGATGATGATAAAAGTTTTTGTAAGTTTCCTAAACTAAAATTTTAAATTATCTATAGTGTTTATAAAATTATTTTTATTCTTTATTACAATTCTAGCATACAAAACATCACAGTTATATATAGAGATGGTTGAATGTTTAGCGGAAACTTGTAAAAATTGGCAAGAATATATTGATATTACAACAGCAAAATTGGAACCTTTACCTCACATTGTGTCAGTGTGTGCTATAAAAAACAGTAGAAGAAAAATGGAAGATAGGCACGTCATTTTGCATAATCTTAATACAGTTTGTGGACTAAAGGTACAGTACCTAAACTGAAATTCGTAAAATGAGTTCCAAAAATATTATTTCTTTTATTATATACAAATAATTACTGTTAATGCATATTAATAAAAATATATTAATTTTAGGATGCTCCACATCATAGTTATTATGCAATATTTGACGGCCATGCTGGAGTTGAAGCTGCTAGTTATTGTGCTGCACATTTACACTGGAACATTGTAAATCATCCAGCTTTTCTTACTGATACTGAAAAAGCAATTTCTGAAGCTATTACTTTAACTGATAAAACATTCCTGGAGCGGTCTTATAGAGAAGTATGCAATATGAATTATAAAATTTGAAATAATTCCTTACTAAATGTACATGGTGTCAAAAAAGTAACTATGTAATGGGAAAGGTTTAAGTAAAGTTTTATGTACAACATTGCAGTTTCTCCTGCAGCAAATGTGAGAAATATCACCTAGAGGCCACAAAATCCATAAAAGTGGTCCCATGAAATCTGGCCTTCTAGATTTCCAGAACAGATTCCATGGGAGATTAGGCAATCAGCAAAGAAGTCTTTCATAAACTATAGTCTGAAAACCATAACATCTGTGAACGAGCATTAATGCCATACACCGCAAAGTGGAAGTGCAGGGCATACAACTTACGGGTCTCGTAAGCAATGCCATACATATAACTGTAATATTATACCAATTTCTCACTGCACAGTGACTTTTTGGACACTGTATAATAATAAACATATTATTTTATTTAGAAATTTAATTTTAATAACATCATAAATATTTTAATGATTACCAATTGAATTTTCAGTATGTTAGAGAATTAAGCAATAACCAGTGGTAGTACTATTCACTGTGTTTCTAATTATAAAGTGATTGTGTGTCTGATGAAAAACAATTATAGAGTTTTTTTAACGCTTTTGTACAGTTATCATTAGCAGAACACTTTTCTTAATTGTGAGGATTCGGACTAGACGTGAATCTTGGATCCTGTGGCAATAAACTGACGTCTTATCATATAGTAATCTGATCAATGCCATAAATTTCTTCAAACAATTGATTTTATTAAAATATTTTTCAAAATTATATATATACAGTACCCCTTATTATATCCTGTTTGTCAAGAGACAAAGAAAAAGCACAATATATCTGAATTTGCGATATAATGAGGGGCTACTGTATTATTATATATTTCATTATGATGTTACTTCATTCATAAATTCGTATATTCATTATGATGTTACTTCATTCATAAATTCGTATGCAGCCTGTTAAACTCTTCAACAGCTTCATGCTGAGGTTTAAGTTGAATTAAATGATCATTGTCCAAGCAAATATACTGTATTAAAAATTATAAAATCATAATAAATATATTTCATTAAAATATTGCAGGGAATAAAAGGTGGAAGCACTGCATTATGTTGTTTAATCAGAGAAAAAACTTTATATATTGCTTGGGTAGGAGATTCTCAAGCAGTATTAGTAAAAAAAGGAGTACCTAACATAATTGGTTTGCCTCATAAACCAGACAGAGAGGTTAGTTTATTGAAAATTTATCTTCCAAAATAAAAATAAAAATTTTATTTATAAATTACTTATTATATTAAAGGAAGAAAGATGTAGAGTGAAAGAATTAGGTGGTTGTGTATTATTTATGGACACTTGGAGAGTAGATGGTACATTGTCTGTCTCTAGAGCAGTAGGTAAGTTATTTTTTTTCTTTTAAACGTAGTAGTAAATTCATTTCACAAATTTATCTTTGGAGAAAAATTATAACATTACTTTGTATAATTTTTTCCTAAAAGAAACTATCGTCAAACTTGTTCTTAATTAATATCAGAATAAAGCAAAATTTGCCGAGATAAAAATTCTTGTTTTTCAGTATATTACCTGTAAACTTTAATATTTAATTTTATTTCAAAAACTTCACATAAAATTGACTTTGTTAGTAGTAGTATTTAAAAAAACACTTTTTTAAAAAAAAGAATAAAAATTTATAAATAATTATTAGTTATTTTACAAGTTTCCTCATTCTTATACCACAAAGAACTGATAATTGGAAAATTACAATGAAATTTTGTCTATTTTTAATATCATTTTGTTGTAGAAAGAATTACTACTATACTTTTCAATAATAAATAATTTTGAATTAATTCTATAATTTGACAGAAAACTTAAATTCATTAAATTATTCCATTGTCTACTGATCAACCAGCTGACTTTTGTTTTAACATGTTCCCAACATTGCATTTCACCGATGGCACATTTGTGTTTTTCATTTACACCATTGTGCTCCACCAGTAGCACATCTCTATAGTAAAACGTCATGTAGCTGGAATACTATTATATTAGGAATTTATCTTTTGCATTCAACAGTACAAAGAGCTTCATCATCTTAATGTACCATTTTTTTGAAACTTAAACACTTTTTTTGATAATATGTAGTACCAGACCAAATATCTGACAAGCTTGTGATTGGAAGAGGTCCAGATTTCTGGATTTTCTGGAAAATCCAGTCAGTATATCATTTTTACAGTTTAAGTATATATTTAACCTACATGCTAAACATATACTTTAAACAAACAATGAAAAGTACAGAACGAAACTGTTTATAACACACCATAAACCTGTCACTGCGGAACTGGGCATCGTGAAACATCTACACTGCAGAAAACAAAACAAAGTGGCTGTGCTGCAAACTATAGCCTGCCAAATTAAAAAACTAACAGTTTTCTGGAAGTGACATATTTGGTCCGGTACTGTATAGACACATACTGAATGCATTTATGTTGGCAAAAAATAAATTTATTATACATTTAAATTATTTATTGAAAATGGAATTAAGCAAAAAAATGTCTGAAAATTGCAATTTCCTAATAAAATTGAAACTACGATTCTTTAAAAAAGTAATTTCTTCTGTTAAATTAAAAATTTAGTTTTAAGGTAAAATAATCCATCTTTAATGAGATTATTTAGAAATAATACTTTTATCTTAAGATATAGTGTCATATAGAAATTGTTACTACTACAAGTTTATTAAATTTAAATTTTTTACATGTATATATTTTTTCACTACAGGAGATTTGGAGCATAAACCACATATAAGTAGTGAAGCAGACATATGTAAAATAACATTAGATGGAGCTGAAGATTATCTTGTGTTAGCATGTGATGGTCTTTGGGATAAATTATCACCATCAGATTTGGGATTATTAGTTTATCAGCATATTACTGAAGGAAAAAGTGTTGAAAGAATTGCACCAGAATTAGTTCAAATATCAAAAGAACTTGGTTCTCAAGATAACATAACTGCAATTGTTATTTTCATGAAAGATCCATATAATATATCTGTGCCGCCAATATGTTTACCTTCTTTAAACAACAAATTAGAGAACGATCAACTCAAAACAACAAATGAAGAGAACTATGTATTAAAATCACAAGAATTAATTACAGATCTATCGGATATATCCGATAAGGTTATCAGCAGTATTTCTAATATTGATTTAAGTACAGGAAAGGGCACTAATTCGTTACTATATGACAATAATTCTGTTACCTCCTTAAATGACAATAGAATAAATGGAAACTTCTTACAAAATGAAAATGAGAAAAACATTTGTGAAAATAATAATGAAATTTCTGTTGCTGACAATATTTCAAATCAAATTGATGCAGACAGTTTAGAAATGATGGCAGATAATTCACCTAATGATGACAAAATTGTTGTTTCACCTTTGTCAAATGATAGTCTAATCTCAACTGACGAAAAATCTGATTTCAGTGATTCCAAACAAACACCAACAGATGTAAGTACATTTTCTGACGAACTTAGAGCAGATTCTAAACCCTATTTATCTGATTTAGAATCCGAAACTTCAATTTCTGTAAGTGATCATTCAAATACTGTTTTTATAAAAGATAACACATCCTCTTCAAAACAAGAAGTTAATAATTTAATAGACTTAGAACTGGCAAATAGAATTCCTCAACCAAATAATACAATAAATTCTTCACAATTCAATAAAGAGCTGCATTATAATGAAAGAATTGATTCAGAAATTTCAAATAATGCTCTTCCATCAGAAACTAAAACAATTTCTACTGATGTGAAAAAAGAAGGCAATTTAATATGCTTTGAAGGCAATATGTATGCTTCAGATTCAACATCAAAAATACCCAGTAATGTGCAAGAAGTACCTCCAAATTATTTGAATAACAAATTAACTGAAGAAAAGATTATAAATACAAATCAATCAGAAAATATTTCTAATTTAAGAAATGAAATTGAATCATCATCAAAAGATCTGTCAGCAGATATTAACAACTGTTTGAAATCCAAAACATGTACACCAAATTTAATACTTCAAAATTCACAAGAGACTAGCTTGGAACATTCAGATTCAATTAATAAAATTCAAACTTCAACCATCCAAGAAATAAGTGAAACTTGTTCTGAATATGCAAATATAATTAGTGAAAATCAAAATGATGTAGGAAAGCCATTACAAGAACAGTTATATAAAGATTCTGTAAATATGACTAATACAGTTCAAAATAATAATGACAATTTAAGACCTAAAGCTGCAATATGTCGTGAAAACAATAAAACTAATAGAATAGTGCATTTAAAGAATGCAAAATCTGTTACAGACTCAAAAACAGGTAAAGAATCACTTTCAAAATCAAAAGTAAAGAAAACAACAGATGACAAATTAATAAAAACTAGTCCAGCTAAGTTACAACAAAACAAAAGTGCACAGAAGTTAGTGAATAAATCAACAGAAAAGAAATCTTTACAACAATCAATAAAGGACTCGCCAATAAGGAAAGTAACCGTTCAAAACAGAACCAATACAGAAAATGTCTTTGAACGATTATCCATGCCTAAATCGACTCCTAAATTCAAAACAATGCCAAAGGACGAGGGAAAAAGTTCATCACCATTAAAGACTAGTGAAACAAAAACATTGCCCAAATCAGGAAAACTTTTATCTTCAAAATCATCAAAGGAATCCTGTACATCACATGCATCACCTAGTTCAAAGTCTAACACAAAGACTGTTAAGATATCATCACCTAAGACATTGGCACTTAAAGCATCAAAATCTGAAACTGTTAATAAATTAAATGAAGAAAATATATCAAATGCATCTCCAGAAAAAGTGGAATCTGCACAAAGAGAAAAAATCAACTCAAAATTTTTAACAGGTGAAAAATGTTTAAGAGAAAATACGACAGAAAAAAAATCATTGATTAAAAACTCTTTAAAAACTAATAACAAAGATCCGAATGATAAAATAAGCAAACAAAATAATTCCGATCTTCCTAAGACAAATGCTAAGAGTGAAAAAAATATTGTTAATCGAAAATTAACAGAGAAACATATTAAAACTGCAAGTGCTATTCAAAAAAATTCAATTTCTCCCATTCAGAAAAATAAGACTGTGAATGCAACTACATCCAAAGAAATCGAAAAGAAGGCAAAGATGACACCATCCGAAAAGATAAAATCAGCAAAATCTAAAACATCTGCTACACCTAAAGCAAGCGTGAAAAAACCTCTCGAAAAAGGAAACTGTGAAGCCATTACAAAATCTCTCGAAAAGGAAACCGAGGTTGTCACAAAATCAAATTAAATAAAACGGAACATTCTTTTCATGTTTTCTTCTTTGAGACTTTCAGAAATGCAAATTATTAAAACTGGTTTAATAATAATTTCCAGTAATTTTTACGTAAAAGATATTTGCTTCTCATCCAAATAAACATTTAATTATATAAATAAACAAAGTTATAATTTTTTTTTTTAAATATTTATCAAATAAAACTTAATTTTCTGTTAGCCAAAACTTTTTTAATCTATAAAATGTAAAAAAAAAAAAATTGTTGAACACATTCATTATATAATGCTAATGTATTATTATTGTAAATTTCATTTCTTATTTATAATTTGCAATTTTTATTATTATTTATTAAAAGTTTGGGGCCAGCTTGCACCATAAAAATCTTGAGTTTCAATTTATTTCCTCTTCTATTACTTTATATTATTATATATGTAGTATGATCCAAAAGTTTGGGGACTTGGCTTGAAATTCCTTACCTTAAAAAGTTTATATTGCCGATGCATAACCACCTTTAAAGTAATCACCTTGGACAAAGATACACTTTTGCCAGCGCTCGTATAACTTCTGATAGCACTGCTGGAAGCCATTTTTTGAAATCTCCCGTAAGGCCTCTTGCGATGCTGCTCTCACCTCATCTGATGACACAAAACAGCATCCTTGCAAATGCTTTTTCATTGATAGAAACATATAAAAATCACACGGGGCTAAGTCCAGTGAATAGGCGGGGTGTGGAAGCACATTAATTTGAGTTGTCATGCAGAAGGTACCAGTCTACACTTTGCCAGATCTGTGGCCATTTACGACGAATGAATTCCCTCAAACGACATAAAATGTCTAGATAATGCTCCTTGTTTACTGTTCTCCTTTCGGGAATAAATTCTGAATGAACAATTCCTCAAGAATCAAAAAACACCTCCATCATGACTTTTCCTTTGCTCAGTGCATATTAAGATTTTCCGTTAAAATACGCTGGCAACTAGTCTTTGACAAGTGAGTAGCTGCAGCGATTTTTTCAAGAGTTTGGCAATGATCTTTGCGAACATATTGAGAGACCAACTCAACATTTTCCTCATTCCGTGAAGTCGAAGGTCGGCCAGAGCGTTCATCGTCTGCATGGATTCTCGGCCCTCTTTAAAACACCGATGCCATTTGTATAGCTTTGATTTCACCATGGTAAAAACACCGTACAATTCTTAGCAATTTTAAAGTCTCCGTAGGTGTTTTACCTAAACGCTGACAAAATGTAATGTTGCAGCACTGTTCTTGAAACTCCATTTTTATTATGTCACAAAACAAAGGTAACTATCTCCGAAAGAAAACAACAGCGCTCGTGGTTTAATCACGTGACATGGGCAAAATCAACCTAAATACGTAGTAATGGTTCGATAGAATCATTTTCATACGCTGTAACTTCAAATGCATGCTTTTGTTGTCATACATTACTGTATTCCCCGAAGTTTTGGATCGTATCACGTATTTCTCTCATAATAATTTACCTTAATATTGGATTACACACAAAGTTCTCATGAAGACCCTCTATTTTCTGCACATATTTTAATTCTTTCTCATGATGCTTTTGGCATCATTTTCCATGATGAATGGTAACAATACTTTAAAGAAGTCTCTAATACAATAATTGCTTTTAGGTCTTCAATAGTCGAAAAGACATCTCAAACTGTATTATTCTGAACCCCATGACACAATCCCATGCACAGTGTCTTTGTGTACACAATCTTTAACAATTTCATTTACATTTTGACAATATTTCATTCACATTATATTGCTTATAGTAATCTGATTAGTATAAATGAGCTGCTTTAGATAATCTTGTAAGAGAATTTTCAGCAAGACTACACTAAATTAAAATTCAAATTTTTTAATTTTGTATTTATCATTTATTCCTTAAGAAGTTTTCGTTGATTTTATTTATTGTATTAACAAACAATTCTATTCATTCTTTTTCATACATTTCATACCTAAAAATTTAAACATTTAAAAAATTTTTTAAACAAAATATTATGAAGAATAAAAATAAATCATAGTATTTCTCTCGGAAGAAATCTGTATTTTATGTTTTAAATTATCAACTTAATTATAATTAATAATTTAAAACTTGATTAAATACAACTATGAAATTGTTTTGTTTTGTTAAGGCTGTGTACACATTAGGTGTTTTTAAATGCACATTTTAAAGAACCAAGAGTTCTGCATAGGCATACATACTCAAACACATGCTTCTGGCCAAGTGCGTTGATCGATTTTTCTTAGAATGCGCGTTTTGCGGGCGTCAGCCGTGCGCTTTGATATATATGTGCTGCCATGTTGTACATTCGATCGCGCGCTTTCAGGTAGAGTGGACGTATGTTGGCCGAAATGGAGAACGATCACTTCGATAACAATCTATTTATTGATGAAATCTAAAAGAGATCAGCCATTGTAAATGATTTTATAGATATTCTAAAAGAATTAAAAATCTTGGGTTCATATTGTCTTAGTTTTGGATACAACGTCACGAACATTCCATGCGTCAGTCTATCTCGTAATATTGGGTGNATAAAATATCCCAACTTCGCTAGAGACAGATTTAGGATTCTCCTATATTAATAATGGATTTAACAAAGCATAAATCAATATATTTATTATGTGATTTTTACTTTAATGTTTCTTTTTTTATAGTTTAAGATTTTTTCAAGTTATTTCTTGTCTTGTTAATGATAAAAAGCACTACATTGCTTTTTGGCACAGCCATATAATATGAGTAAAGAATAGAATATTAAGTTTTTCATATACTATCATTTTTGATACGTTTAACTATATAAAGCCTAATTTACAAATTTATAATTTTAATTTTTGGATTATGCAAAAGTGAATATTTTAATATTACTTAAAATTTTTCAAACTACTAAATTACAGCGATATGTGTATCTTTTATGATTCTGCTAACTTATTAATTAAATGCAAATTTAATTCGCAATAAAGAAATATCCTAGTGTGTTTTCAGTTTGGATAAAAAACCTTTTCTTACATTTTTAAATATTAATAATATTTAATAAGTTAAATATCAAGCATACCTCACAAGTCATGATCAAATTTACAATTCCACAATAATTAGTTGTAGAAAATTTTGGAATATTGTAACAGTTTTGATTATGACTTGAAATTCCTTCTTGAAGTTGCTCTTTCAAATTTTCCAAGGACAGACAATCCTGCTAAAAAAAATGAATAAACTAATTTTTAAGATTTTACAAAATTATAATGCTCAAAATAAAAATTTTAAAAAGTGATATTTAACTGAGATTGTAATAAAAGCAAAAATTAAATATGAAATTTATGTGTGAAAAATAAAGCATTATTTAAAATTATAATAAAGGAATAAAAAAAATGACTCCCTTCAGACAAAAGAAATTTATTACAGCAAGTTTTAAAGTTTAAAACGTTCTGTAATTGGTTTTGTTTGGTAAAAAATTGAAATTTTTTTGATTCTTTCCTTAAGAAAGACAAAAGAAATTGATCATTTTTACTGGAGTGTAACTTTGGAACTTCATTTAGAATACTAAAATCATTAAATTTTTAGAATTCTAAAAGCTAGTTATTTCAAACTGCATGAAAAGCTTTCCTGTTAAGTAACATTATATACAGCACAAGTAGATAACGTACAACATACACACACACTGCAAAGAATAGCAAAATTTTAGAATGAAAATGCCCTTTAATTTCAATGTATTTCGAAAACAATGTGTTTGATTTATTGAATTTAAAAAGTTTATTATATAAATCTAAAAATAAAACAAATTTATTGAATTTAAAAAATTTCAGTCACATTATATATCAAATATGAATTAATTCAAAAACATACCTCAGTATCTATATTTAATCCACATTTGCAGATTATCTTTGAATGCAGCTGAGTTAAAGAATTCCTGAGAAGTTAAATAACATTTAATTTTCTACATCTAAGTACAAGGGTGGTTCAATAAGTAAGGTAACAAGATCTCACTTCTTAAATTTATTCAACTTGTACATATACTTGTAAATAATAGTACAAGAGGTATGTCCTTGGTATAGTTTATTTCTCCACATATTTTCCATACTAGTTTAAACATTTGTTCCAGTGCCTTAGTGTACACTACATTATCTATGCCAACATAAAAGTCAGTGTCAAGTGCTTGAAGCCATGACAGACAGTTTGCATAACTTCCACATTTGTGAATCACCTGCCACCCAGATGCTTTTTTCAATGGTCTGAACAGATAAAATTCATTGGGTGCCAGGTCAGGGCTGTACAGAGGATGGTTCAGTATCTCCCATCAGTAGCACAATAAAAAGTCGCACAGTGATGGCTGTGTGTGGCCTGGCATTGTTGTGCAGCACAGTATGCTGCTAACACACGTTTAACACAACACAAAATGCCTAATGTGTACACAGCCTAAGTTATGGCAATGCAACACTTGGAAACCTTTTTAAGGATAACTGGCCCCTATTCAGGCATTTACAGACGTGTAGAACTCCATGTGGCCAGCCCGTCCTAGAAAGGTGCAAACCCACAACCGAACTCCCAGTGTTCAGGGAAGGAACCGTTTGGACACTGGTGGGCCTTATGCAATTGTTAACTGATCAATATCTGAAAATATACTGAAGTATAGAAATAACAAAAAAATATCTCCAAATAATAATTAAAATTTCAAAGCAAATTGACTGTAGTCTATATGGCAACCTCTGGAAGCAATGCATGTTGATATGCAGCAAGTCATAAAATCAANCAGTGTTGGATGTGTGTGGCCTCGCATTGTTGTGCAGCACATGACACCTGTTCATATCAACCCATGTTGTTTTCAATGAATTGCCTCAATGTGTCACAATAGCATTCACTATTCATTCTGTCTCCCTTGGTGAGGAAGTCAACAAGAAGCATGTCTTCATGGTCCAAAAAACTGTCACCATGACCTTCTTTGCTGATGGAACTCTTTTAAATTTCTTAGAAAGTGGAGATAATGCATGTTTCTACATCATGGATGCTTGTTTTGTCTACAGTGTCACATAATGCACCCAAGTTTCATCCCCTATAATAATACAGTGCAGAAACTGCACTCATGGTACCAAATCAAGTGCATGGGACACAATCCTATTCTAGTGGCTTTATGAATTTCTATGAGTTATTTCAGTACCCAGTGTTAACATTTTTTTCTTCTGTCCCAGTTAGTCATGAATGATACAATATTAAGTACAGTTCCCACTTATATGTTCAAGTCACTAGCAATATCTCTAACCCAAATGTGTCAATCCTCCTAAATCACGCCTTCAATGCAGTATACATTGCCATGTATCTTGCCATTACTGAACTCAGTGCACCAAACCTACATCTGCTTCTGTGACATAGCATTAGCACCATATACCTGAACAAATTGGCAATGAATTTCAACTGGTAATGTGACCTTTAGATGCAGATATCTGATCACACTACACACTTCAATGTTTGACCATTTCTGTAATCTTACATCTGATGTTGGGAGAGTATGTGGCAAAGCAGTGGTCAACCTGTTCTAATCTGTTAAGAAATTATGATGATACAGTCTATTATGCTTATATGAGGTCTTGTCTTATTTACTGAATCACCCTCATAAAATTATAACAATTTAAAGAAAATTACAATCATCCAACTTCACTAGAGACAGATTTAGGATTCTCCTATATTAATAATGGATTTAACAAAGCATAAATCAATATATTTATTATGTGATTTTTACTTTAATGTTTCTTTTTTTATAGTTTAAGATTTTTTCAAGTTATTTCTTGTCTTGTTAATGATAAAAAGCACTACATTGCTTTTTGGCACAGCCATATAATATGAGTAAAGAATAGAATATTAAGTTTTTCATATACTATCATTTTTGATACGTTTAACTATATAAAGCCTAATTTACAAATTTATAATTTTAATTTTTGGATTATGCAAAAGTGAATATTTTAATATTACTTAAAATTTTTCAAACTACTAAATTACAGCGATATGTGTATCTTTTATGATTCTGCTAACTTATTAATTAAATGCAAATTTAATTCGCAATAAAGAAATATCCTAGTGTGTTTTCAGTTTGGATAAAAAACCTTTTCTTACATTTTTAAATATTAATAATATTTAATAAGTTAAATATCAAGCATACCTCACAAGTCATGATCAAATTTACAATTCCACAATAATTAGTTGTAGAAAATTTTGGAATATTGTAACAGTTTTGATTATGACTTGAAATTCCTTCTTGAAGTTGCTCTTTCAAATTTTCCAAGGACAGACAATCCTGCTAAAAAAAATGAATAAACTAATTTTTAAGATTTTACAAAATTATAATGCTCAAAATAAAAATTTTAAAAAGTGATATTTAACTGAGATTGTAATAAAAGCAAAAATTAAATATGAAATTTATGTGTGAAAAATAAAGCATTATTTAAAATTATAATAAAGGAATAAAAAAAATGACTCCCTTCAGACAAAAGAAATTTATTACAGCAAGTTTTAAAGTTTAAAACGTTCTGTAATTGGTTTTGTTTGGTAAAAAATTGAAATTTTTTTGATTCTTTCCTTAAGAAAGACAAAAGAAATTGATCATTTTTACTGGAGTGTAACTTTGGAACTTCATTTAGAATACTAAAATCATTAAATTTTTAGAATTCTAAAAGCTAGTTATTTCAAACTGCATGAAAAGCTTTCCTGTTAAGTAACATTATATACAGCACAAGTAGATAACGTACAACATACACACACACTGCAAAGAATAGCAAAATTTTAGAATGAAAATGCCCTTTAATTTCAATGTATTTCGAAAACAATGTGTTTGATTTATTGAATTTAAAAAGTTTATTATATAAATCTAAAAATAAAACAAATTTATTGAATTTAAAAAATTTCAGTCACATTATATATCAAATATGAATTAATTCAAAAACATACCTCAGTATCTATATTTAATCCACATTTGCAGATTATCTTTGAATGCAGCTGAGTTAAAGAATTCCTGAGAAGTTAAATAACATTTAATTTTCTACATCTAAGTACAAGGGTGGTTCAATAAGTAAGGTAACAAGATCTCACTTCTTAAATTTATTCAACTTGTACATATACTTGTAAATAATAGTACAAGAGGTATGTCCTTGGTATAGTTTATTTCTCCACATATTTTCCATACTAGTTTAAACATTTGTTCCAGTGCCTTAGTGTACACTACATTATCTATGCCAACATAAAAGTCAGTGTCAAGTGCTTGAAGCCATGACAGACAGTTTGCATAACTTCCACATTTGTGAATCACCTGCCACCCAGATGCTTTTTTCAATGGTCTGAACAGATAAAATTCATTGGGTGCCAGGTCAGGGCTGTACGGAAGATGGTTCAGTACCTCCCATCAGTAGCACAATAAAAAGTCGCACAGTGTTGGATGTGTGTGGCCTCGCATTGTTGTGCAGCACATGACACCTGTTCATATCAACCCATGTTGTTTTCAATGAATTGCCTCAATGTGTCACAATAGCATTCACTATTCATTCTGTCTCCCTTGGTGAGGAAGTCAACAAGAAGCATGTCTTCATGGTCCAAAAAACTGTCACCATGACCTTCTTTGCTGATGGAACTCTTTTAAATTTCTTAGAAAGTGGAGATAATGCATGTTTCTACATCATGGATGCTTGTTTTGTCTACAGTGTCACATAATGCACCCAAGTTTCATCCCCTATAATAATACAGTGCAGAAACTGCACTCATGGTACCAAATCAAGTGCATGGGACACAATCCTATTCTAGTGGCTTTATGAATTTCTATGAGTTATTTCAGTACCCAGTGTTAACATTTTTTTCTTCTGTCCCAGTTAGTCATGAATGATACAATATTAAGTACAGTTCCCACTTATATGTTCAAGTCACTAGCAATATCTCTAACCCAAATGTGTCAATCCTCCTAAATCACGCCTTCAATGCAGTATACATTGCCATGTATCTTGCCATTACTGAACTCAGTGCACCAAACCTACATCTGCTTCTGTGACATAGCATTAGCACCATATACCTGAACAAATTGGCAATGAATTTCAACTGGTAATGTGACCTTTAGATGCAGATATCTGATCACACTACACACTTCAATGTTTGACCATTTCTGTAATCTTACATCTGATGTTGGGAGAGTATGTGGCAAAGCAGTGGTCAACCTGCTCTAATCTGTTAAGAAATTATGATGATACAGTCTATTATGCTTATATGAGGTCTTGTCTTATTTACTGAATCACCTTCATAAAATTATAACAATTTAAAGAAAATTACAATCACCACCACTACAAATAATTTAAAATAATAAGCAAATGTAAATTACACATTATGACTAATATCTAGTTTAAAATCATACAAATTCCATTATTTATATTAAATTTTAAAACAGTATCACAATATTATATTTAGTTCACTATCTTCTTAAGCTTCCTTCTACATAAAACAATTTGCTCTTAGAAATGAAAATTACAAAGAAAAAAATTAAACTTCCTAATCAAGAATTCATTATAAGTAGTAATAAAATTATATTTAAGTTTTAATAAATACAGGGCATCCAAAAAGTTACTGTACAGTGAGAAATCTGTAATGATATTAAAGTTATATATAGGGTATTGCATATGAAATCTGTAAGCTGTCCAATTGGTACTAGTTGGCCAGTTATATGTATGATATTTCATACGACTTATAGGTCTTATAGGCAATACTCTAAGTATTGATATAACTTTAATATCATTACAAATTTCTCACTATACAGTAACTTTTTGATACCCTGTACTTACTAAACACAGTCAATAAAATTCTAAAAAGTATTTTCTGTATTTTAACTTTTTACTAATTTTATTATTATTAATTACAATTACTTTTGACAAATTGGACAAATCACACAATTTGTTTCCAAAGTTTTTACAGTTTCCTGCACTGATGATTCTTCAATTTCTAAAACCTCTTGATATTCTCTTATAATTCTTTCTTCTAAAAAAATATATAAATAAAACAATTTAGATATTTACAGAAAAAAGGCAATTTCTTTAATATTCTGAATAATTATAATAAATAATTCATGAAGTATTTAAACATATCTTTATACATTTTAATTCAAAATATTGTAACAAAAAAATAAATGTAATTCATTGTATGCCTACTTAGAATGATTTAAAAAACTGTGTATTTCTTAATTATATTAAAAAATTTATTATAATCTATTTTAATTATAATTTTAAGAAAACAATTTATTATATAGGAAAATAATGTATAAAATAATTAGAATATATGTTGCATAAACAACATTTAGCTATAAAAAAAGTTTAAATTTATTAAAAACAAAAATATCATTATCTATAAAATATCATAAATATTTCATAATATACTTTAAAATACATGTTTTGATATAAACACTGAAATGGGTACAGTACATGAGCTGGCCATTAGTGACAAAACAGATCTTGTCACTAATTATTTTAAAATGAGTCAAGATATTAAATTTTAGAATTTTCTAAGGATTGCAACTGTAGAAATAATTTAATTAAATATATTCTGAAAAATTAAGAATTATCATTAAAAGAAAATTATAGTAAAATCTCTCCAGATGACTAACCACCCCTTTAGAATTCTTAGGACAGAATGTTTATTCCATAGGGCTGTTTTTAATTCTCCTTAAGCCAATCTCTTTACACAACTAATGATCATGTGGACTCAATCTTTTTGTGTAAAATACACTCTTTGCCCATGGTTTTGATTTCATCATCTCATTCTGAATGGGATGATGAAATGATGGACATATTGTACTGTTACACTAGGTGTCCTAAATTTTTCTAACTTCAATGTCTCTATTATCCCCATTTATTTTATTGCAGAAAATATACATAATTTGGTATTAATATCCTATAAAAAAGAAAATAAAAACACATTGAGTGCTACATTAACAGTTTTTTATTAGACAAATTGCATAATTTGTTTCCAAAGTTTCACTGCCCTCATTAGAAATGTGCTATTATTACCTTCAATTCAAGTGCTTTTAAGCATTGAGTTAAACACTATCAGTTTGGCAGTACAGTTTGGCTGTATATGCAAAGCTGGTTTTTCATGTTACATAGTGTTGTGCTTGGAAATAGAGATTCCAAGCACAACACTATGTAACAAGAGGGAGGTGGCAGTACTTCAACCACCATTACCGTACCTCAGACCCCTTTCCATACGTATTTGCTGTATATTCAGGCAACATATCTTTCTCCTGCCTCAATCTTCACTACTGAATTTGCACAGACTCATCTGCAACAATCCAGACAAATTCTCCACCTTTGAAAAAACAGGAAATCATGCCATACCATCAGAGAATCATCCTGTAACAGGGTGAACACAAGGTACATTGGTTGCACAACACAAATGCATGCTAGATGCCTAGCTGAGCACCAGGATGATGTGGTGAAAGGAAAGCATACCATAGAACGTGCAAAAAAAAAAAGGTGCTTGAACAGAACTACAACCTGTTATGGTCTCAAACAATGCTATTCAAAGCTGCAGTGACTGGAAACTCTTGTATATGGGAATCTCTCCTTACGACAACCTTGGAGCCATAAAATACTCCCAGGCTTGACTTGTCCTGCATGTGGGTTGCTCTATATAAATGGCAAAATAATGATATGCATCCGCCATCATATTCTTTAATGTGGGTGTATATTCACATGTACTGCGTGACATTAGAACATCTAGTAAAATCGAATCTTGCGCATGCTCATAACAGTTTTTTAATTTTAATTTAAATAGTATGTGTTCCATTTGCACTAGAACATTACATTCTATTTTAAATTTTGTTCACCTGAAGATGATGAACATAAATTTGTTGAAAGTGCTAGCAAAAATAAAAAACTGTTAACACCGCATTCAGCATGTTTTTATTTTCTTTTTATGTGATATTTGGCATGAGGTTCAAGCTGTACTATGTTATTAATATCCTCAATAACAAGTTAGCCTATGCTTTATTCTAACGTTCTATTTATTCTTATTAAACTAAATAATATAACAAAGCCAATACAATATAATACCTTCTTCTAGTAGTTCTTTTTGAACTGTATCCATAAATGAAAGTAGTGAATTAAAATCATCTTCTATTTCCTAATTGAAAAAATAATTTTATTTATAAATTGAAGTTAAATATGTAAATAATGAATTGTATAATACAAAATCTAAGATTCCAATACTATAATGTTCAAAAATATTTTATCAAATTAATCAAATCAGCTTAGTTTTAACTAAGAATAATTACTCAATTCTAAATCAACAATAATGAGACTACAAGTTTCATCCCCTATAATAATACAGTGCAGAAACTGCACTCATGGTACCAAATCAAGTGCATGGGACACAATCCTATTCTAGTGGCTTTATGAATTTCTATGAGTTGTTTCAGTACCCAGTGTTAACATTTTTTTCTTCTGTCCCAGTTAGTCATGAATGATA